TGTGTGTGTGTGTGTGTGTGTGTGTGTGTGTGTGTGTGTGTGTCTAAAACGCATCGAAGTCTTGTGGTGATTTTCATGCAGGGCACGCAGGGGGAAGAGCCCACTATATATATATCCCTATATTATATAGTTATTTGTGTGGGACATTCCACATATCGCTCCCACAGCTCCTCCCCAGCCCCCAATAGACCCTCCACAGACCCCCGACTGCCCCCGCACCATTTTGTATTATTGTTAAATTATAAAATATTAATAAGTGACCCTCAAGTTATAACCCATAAATATAGCCGACTTATCTATAAGAATCATCAAGTAAAGTTAATAAATTGTGTAAAAATCTCCTTTCAAACAATATTTTCTATTTATGTATTTTTTTGCCTTTCAACTTGAATAAACAAATTATTTTTATCTTCGCATCTTGATAAGGCCACACATAATTGACCATGAGAATATAAGGGTTTTTCAAAATACAAACCTACATTATCGAAACTTTGACCTTAGGATTTGTTTATTGTCATAGCAAATGCCACAATGACTGGAAATTGTTTACGATGCAAAATAAACGGTAATGTTAAGGAGTTTCCTGTGTCTCAAGTCATTCTTGAAATGAAGACTCTATTTTCAATTTTTTCTCTAGTTATTATTTTTCCCTCTATATTTTACTGTGATAATTTTGTGATTCGTAAACGTGTTTTATGACAGAGTCCATCTGATATAATTAAATTTCTGAGTAACGTCACTAGTGTACTAGTTTTTAAATTTAGTTCATGCGGTGGTAATCCTTTACGAAAATTGTTCAACCTTTTTACCGGAAAATTTAAATAAATATTATTATCTGATTTATCGACCCCCTTATAAGTTGCGTTATCTATACTATGGTAAGTTTTAATCTCTCTAGTTAATTTTTTAAGAATTTTATTATTTAAATAAGAGGTGTTCTCCTTATGCGATGTAAGTATAACACTATTAATCGAGCAGTTGTAGATATTAGAAAATATTTGAGAACATACATCATCTGAGATCCAATTTATAGGAATGTTAAAAAATGTTTATTTCCCCTTTCCCAATTTTGAATGATAGTTTTGAAAATTCTTTATCGTTAGAAAAAATATTGATTTCTAATTTTAAAATTTGGAATGAGTTCAATAAAAATCAAAATTTAATAGTTTGTTCAAGTATAATTTTTCTATTACCATTTTTTATCACTGGGAGGATCTGGCAAAAATCATCTCCTAAAATAACTAATTTATTTCCAAAATACTTTTCAGTATTACAAAAACCTTTTAAGGTTCTGTCTACAATTTCCAATGCTTTTTTTAGGATTATTAAAGCCTCATACCAAATAATCAAATAAACTTCTCTTAATTTTTTTATCTGACTTGAATTTTAAAAATGCACTCTCTACATTATTAAGATCTAAAGGAAGTCTAAAAATTCTATGACTGGTTATTCCCTTTGGTAGCAAAATTGATGCTATGCCAGTCCATGCCATTGAAATGATTTTTATATTTTGAGAAATAAGAAAATTAATTAACGTTTTATATAAATAAGTTTTTCCTGACCCTTCAGGATCATCTATAAAGAAAATGTAATTTTTTTGTTCGCAAATAATATGAAATATATTTTTCTGGTCATTACTCAAACTTTTATACATCGAATTAAACATTTTTTTACTGAAACGTATTTCATCATATATATATATTATTCTTCACTCTCCATTTTTTTGGTGTAGGTAAATTAAAGCATCCACATGATTTATCTTCTGATACTAAAATTTGGTTAGTATGAAAAAGAGCTAAATTATCTTTATTATTAGGCAAACCCTTCGAAAAAAATTCTTTGTATTTATTCCATATTTTATTACTTTGAACATTTCCTAAAATTAAAAACCAAGCAAATAATTGTCCTAATTGATATCGAAACATAACAGCAATTGCTTTTTTAAAAATATCATCGATAATTTCATCATTGCCTATTAAATCCATTGCAATTGCAGTATCTTTGAATGTCTTATAAGTTATTCCTTTATATGTTCTTATATCTTTGAACAATATCGAACCAGTTACTTTATTTAATACAAGTTTAAAAGATAATCTTTTATAATCTTTTGGAGATACAATGTTTAATCAACCAATTGCAATATATTTTATCATATTTTTCGTTTAAGATTAACTTTTTGTTCAAGATTACTATTTGAATTTTCGTATGTTTGAATATCGTTGTTCGAGAAATTAACTATAACGTGAACATGAAATAAATCTGAGAAGCTTTTAATTTTAATACTTGTACCATAAGTCCCATTTTTTGACATTATGTTAATATATGTATTTATCACTACTTTTTGCATTCTGATTATAATCGTTTTCTACCATAAATTTATAATAATTTTTCTATTTCTTTACAACATAAGTTATTACTAAAAATCGAGCTTTCATGTGGAAATCTTTGTTACTATACAGAAAAAAAGAAAAAGTTCTGAATAAACAATTTCAGTCCCCTTTTACGCTACTTTTTAAATTGTTCATTTTAAAAAATTTTAAAAACATTAAGTTTGATTTTAAATTACATTTTAATAGTAGAAAGTACAAACGATTTTTTTTATTTACAGTGTGAAATACTCTGAAGAAATTATTTCCGTATTCGTCATTGAATCTGAAAATCAAAAATTTTTTCCATCCACTTATGTGAATTGATAAATTATAGAATGCATAACAGTAACAAAAATAATATAAACTATACGTTATATAAAATTCAAATATATTACATGTGATTAAAGTAACTGAAACTTTTTGTTGTTCAGAATTTAATCAATAAAAAAATAATGTATACCTTTTTTCTCTAAACATAACGAAGAGTTTTAAAAAAAACTCTCAACGTACCACAATAGTACCTTCTGGGTGGTGTGGAAATTTACTGAATAATGTATCACTAATGCTTAATTATGTATATTAAAGACTCTTCTTCCTCATAAAATTATGGGCACCAAACTCTCCCCACTAACAGATAAAATTTAAAGACTCTTCTTTTGAGTTAGAATAGTAGGGATTTGGTGCGCAGAGAGCGCAGGGGGGGCGAAGCCCCACTAGTTTATGTATATTGATGAATAGAATTTTTTACATTATTTATTATTGTATTAATAATTCTGCTACGCCTTTTTTTTATGATGTTGGTTAGAATAGCATAAAAAGAGAATGAGCAGGGGCAAGCAGGCACTGATCCAAATTAAGGGGCTGGCGAGGGGGGCTGAGAGGGGTAATACAAAATTTTATTTTGTTTATTTTAACTTAAAAATAAAAGTAATTTTGCCTTTATTCGAGGAGTGCTAAGAGGTGGCTAAAATAAAAATAGTTGTGCCTTGTTTTGAAGGGTGGCTAAGGGGTAGCTGAGAGGTGTCTAAGTATGGGGAGGAAAAAGTGTGAGGGAGGCTGAGTAGGGGTTGAATTATGACACTAAGGAGTTATATTGGGTTAATTTACTATTTAAATGAAAGAAATTTTTCCTATTTTTGAGGGGGGACACTGAGTAGAAGGGTTACGGACAGCCCCACCTAAATAAGTATATAATATGGGAAGACATATGCGTAAACATATGTATTTTAATGCATTTGTATATTTAATCCTATTATTTAACTGATGCTTTTACTTATAAGACTCAATTAGTGAACATAGAACACTATGTATCATTTTTTTGTTAATTAACATTTATTTGAACTATTAGTGAAGCAAGCTGCATGCGTTCCTTTATCACAATTGAATGTTGTTTTAATTGTTAGGTAACATACACCCTTTTTCTTACAGAGTGTTTTAAATTTTTGTTAAAATTAAGCAATAATTTTTTCTTTCCTACTGTTATTTACAATAGTATGCTTAAAAAGTTATAATTTTCCTTCTGTTATTAATGAGAGTAAAATTAAAAAAGTAACAGTATACAGATTGTTTTGCCTTTTAGTACCATTGTTTTGAGTAATAAATTTTAATTATGATTCAAATAACTCTCAAGTCTGCCAGTAAAGTAGTCCTTGAGATTTTATCTTAATGCACCTAGAGAATGAAAGAGTCAGATGAGTGAGCAAACTAAAGAAGTGAGAAAAGGAAAACCTGAGACAAACAGAGCCAATAGTAGCCCGTATAGCTTACAGAGTAAGAAAGACAACAGGAGATTAACGATCGATTTTTTCATATTCTCTTTTTCTTACGGTATCTTGTAACGCATTTCATACTTTCTTGGCTAAGTCCCCACCTTAATCCGTGATAAGAAAATTCGTTCTAAACATGTTAGCACTGTTTTGACTATAAGTACAATCGCATGTTCTTGAATTGAATGTTGTATCATATGTTTTTGTGTTCCAGAAGGCAGTTCCTGCGATTTAAACGATAATAATAAGAATGGAAAATGCGTAATGCTGCCACAGTGTCCCTTAATGCTTCAACAGATCTTAAGGAAGGAACGTCGCACAAGTAATGACAAACGTTGTGGCTTTAAAGGTTCAATTGAGATTGTTTGCTGCTCAGTAGCAGAGATTGAACGATATGGACGCTTTAATTACTCTAGACTTTACCAAATTGAGCAAACAACTGTATTCAGCACTACAAGCATGCTTCTTTCATCAATAAAAAAAAATTCAAAAACTACTTCATCTTTAACTCATCCAGGAGTTCTTAATTTTCTTCGGCCTGCTGAAATCGGTACTTAACTATTTTTAAGCTATTTTATATTCTTTTTGTCAAGATATACCATTAAATTAATTTAATACATTACATTATTGTATTTTTCGTTACAATTGGGCACAGACTAAAAAGTTATATTTTCTTTTTTACACCTGTTTGATACTTGAATGGAAACATAGGATTCAATTACCAAGTTTCTTATTGTTGTTAAGTTGTGTTAATATAGTTATACAGCGTTTGATATAATACTATGTACATCTGTTTTAAAATCTACTGAGATAATATATTCCAAGCGTGTAGCGAAAGAAATTTCAAAAGACATTGTAGGATTATACGTATGGTCACAAATAACTTAAAGTTATTTTTAATCAATAATAAGAACTTACTAAAAAAACGGAATATATAACAGCGTAAGAAATTAATGGCAGTTGAGCTAAGAAGGAAGGACACAAATTTTAAAACAGAAATAATACCTTACTGCTATGTAAATAAATAAAAATTATCGGGAAGAAGTTGTGGGACTTAGTTCATAGGTACATAAACGAAGATATAAAGAGTTTTATAACAGTAAGAAACAAGGGCTTGTTGCCTAGCCCACCAAATACGCTAAAGCGTGGAAGTAGCTAGCGCTTAGACACCATTGAATAGGCAGACCCTCATGTGAAAAAGATTATGTAGGCCTAGTTCGTATTCAAAATATTTGAGTACAATATTTTAGTACTAATATATAGTCAAATGTGTGGTACTATGTAAATATCGTTCTCTCTTTAACCCTTTCTTGCTTGATGCACAATTTTCTTTTGCCCCGTCTTTTCTCTACTGCCCTTCACGCAATTTGTCTTACCCTTTTCCGCCATTTTACTTTCTGTGTAGAATCTTTATAAATAAATAACTATACAATATGACACCCACCATAATTTTTCCTTAACAAAAAATTTGTCCATAATTTTTTTTTTAATTCTCTACTGAAAACTAGTTTTCTTATCATGTTACAAAAAATTATACTTAGAAATATAAATTTTTTCATCCATTGCCCTTTACCAATTAAGAGGGACTTAAATGAACTGTATACATACAAATAATGTACATTAAAGTTTATGATAATTTGTCAACAGTACATTGTTACTATCCAGGGCAATATTTAACTAATTGACAGTTAATTAAATAATAACTATTCATTTATTTCGATCGTTTTACGAAAATTTGATTTTTTTCGAATGGCACGTAGTTCAAATTTTTAAACTTTTCGCCTAATAGCACCGTCTACTGCTTAATTAGTAGTGACTTCAGGTGTCTCAAGAATACTGCAAGTATTAAAACGACCCTTAGTACATAAGAGGATATTTGCTATGACTCGAAATCATCCACCCGGATCACCTGATACTTAGCAATCGTGGAGTCTTCGCTCGTGCCTGCACACAACAGTGGCTAGAGCCGCATTAAAATTTGATAAGTATTACTATACGTTGACACCACAATTTTTCTGTTCTATCTCTTACACTTACCCACTGCCTATGCACACACTCTGGCTCTACCACCCAGAGATCGAGAGAATAAGGTGCCAATCACCTAGCTACCAGGTCATCTTGGCTGTGAGTATCACGACCGAGCCACCTACTATTGGCACCAGCTGTAGCAGCAGACCAGATTTCCAATAAAAACACTTTTTAATCACACTCAGAGCATCAAGAATAAGGTGCTCATTATTGATGAATCTTGACAACTCAATCAACATACCCGAGGAGGACTTATGCCATCCCCAACTCCCCTTAGCTATTTATAGCTACCCACCCTAATAGACTACTTAACAATATTTACCTGTATAATACAGTAAAATGTGTAGGCCGTTGCACATAACCTCCCAACAGACCTCCAACCATCTAATCACCTCCCAAAATATCCCTACTTACAGCCTCCTCACAAATTTGGGCAAAATTCAATTTATTTATCCGTTATTTTAAGCTAATTTACGTAGGGTCAAGTCTCTTAAAACTTTCTTGCCATCGATCCTCTGATTCCTTAATACAATTTTTACAAAATTTTAAATTTATTTATTATTGCAAATATATATTTTATTATCTTATAATTTTGCGACACAACAGTATAATTTAAGTATTTGAACAAAAAGAATGTTTTCTATTTGATAATTATTCAGGACATGATAAATTCTTACTTTGTAATGTCATAATTATTACTAAAAGATAAGACCATACAAATAATTATTATGAACATGAGTTTTCATTGTACAAGAATGACTATTAAACTTATTATTGACTCAACATTCTTTAATTAATTATATACTTGTCGGCTGCGCAACTCTGCACGCTCCGCGAAAAAACCCCCCAATTTTTAAATCAGTTAGATACTTCATTTTTTCAGTTTGCTTTTTGACGTTAAAAAAATCAAAGAATCTTTGTTAAGTAGTGAGAGAGTCTAAACAAAAGTAGTGTACATTTAATAAAATTCTTCTTATAGATTTTTAAGACAACTTTTTGCCTCCAATCGAAGAAAGTATCGAAGGAGATGAAATTTAAAAAACATTTTCGGTCATTTTATTAATTATATAGTGTTTCTGGAAAAAGAGTCTAATAGGTTCTTTATACTTTACTTTAACATTTTAACATGGGATTCTAATTGGGCCTAAAGGAATGACCAGTTGTAGAACATTTCGATTACCAATAGACTTAAGCAATGTTAAAAATTCGTTTTTGGAATTTAAATCTGAAAAAAAAAAAAAATTGAAAGAAGGAGATTCAAATATAAGGACGAGGCTTTTATGATCCCGAAAAAGCCTTAGAAATAGTAAAAAGAATGTGACGTGATTGAGGTGATACAAATATCCATTTTGGTAAGAAATTCATTGTTTTAGGAGGTGATTTCAGACGGATTCATCCAGTTTTAAGAAATAGTAATGGAATCATGATCATACAAGAAAGTAATAAATCATTATATCTTCGATTGTTGTTTCGTATTCTAAAACTAAATATCATCTATATTCGTTTTATTGACAGAATAATTTCAAAATCATTATTAGATATTGGAGAAGAAAAAACTAAATCATTTCAAGTACGAAACAAATGAGAAACAACTAATGTTTGTTCTCATTTTTTTGGTAAAGATATTGACTTTTTAATTAATAGCATTTTACTTACTTCTCAGAACGAATATACTTACTTTTTGAATGATGAAATTCCAAATCATGTAAAAAAAAAATGAAAACATATTACAGTATAGGTCATGCTACTTACAAGTGTCAATAAATCTGACAACGATATTTATATCAATGTTCCAATTGAATTTCTAAACAATATTCGTGGAGCCTGAACACCGCATAAGCTTAATTTAAAAATTGAAGCAATTGTTATGTTGATACAAAATTTAAGTATAGTTGATGGCTTAAGTAACAGTACAAGATTACAAAATACAAAATTACTTAGATACAATATTGAAGCAAAAACTATAACTGAAAAAAAAATTGGAAAGAGAGTTTTTATACTAAAAATAGCTTTTAGTACAGGAAATTTATCACCATAACCTTTTATTTTAGAATGAAAACAATTTCCTTCAGTCTTAGCAGTTTTTGTAACTATGAATAAATTTCAAGGTCTAAGTTTTAATAACGGTGGTATATATTTTTAAAAACTACTGGTTTTGCATGGTCTTTTATACGTCATGTTATCAAGATGTAAAAATAAAAATGGAATTTATATTTAAAAAGAAGCAATAATAATTTATAAATAGGAAATATTGTTTGTATATAAGTTTTTGGCGTAAACTAGTCCAAAATAGATTTAAAAAAATTCAATTTCTTTACATTAGCGAAATAATGAAATCGTCTGAAGTAATGCTGCGCAGTTTATTAAATCGATGAATAAATGTATTACATTGATGTAACTATTATTTTGATATTTTCTTATGACGATGTGCATTATTTGACATATTTCAATAAATTTAATTTCTAATTTCTATCTTTTCATAGTAAATAGGGCTACAAACGAGGTTCATGGTTAAAAAATTCTTTATGTTTATTCATTGTTATTTATTTAGTATAGAAATATAGTGTTTTGTTCTCATACACATTCAATAATTCAATAAATAAGCTCTTGGAAAATTTAAGAAAAAACAAATCAGAGCACCATAGCACTGCCACTACGGTAGTGTTAAAATGTTCTAATGTGCTAGAAATCAGGGGCTTTCTACAAACTATAGGAAGAGCTGAGACGGAAGGTAAAAACAGTCGTATAACTAAAAATAACATGAAAAAATATTACCTCATTTAACAATGCGGCTGAAGGGTAACTGAAAGGAGTTCTTTAAAATTGCATTGTATTATCTGATTGTTGGGTTATAAAGTTATGAGAGGGAGTGGAAAGTGACTAAAAAAAATTTAACCCACTAAAATTAGGTAAGAACTGACAGTATAAAAATATGTTAACAAATCATACAGCTGATATAATTATTACATTTAAATAGGAAATAATAATGGGGAGCTAAGGAGTGGTGAGAAGTGGCTGTTAAGAAATTGTAAAAATGCTAAAAGGTTTTTAAAAAAAGTATAAGGTGAGCAGAGAGTGAGGTTGCAAAAAGTAATAAAAATTAGAATGACATGATTACTGATATAATTTTACTATATTTACAGGTGCTGCTAATGGAAGGCTATAGAAAGTTCTTTTAAATTGTAAGGAAGACTTATTGGGTTATGAAATTATTAGAGGGGTGAAGACGGGTGTTTAGAAAGGCTGAACAAAAATTCAACCCAATAAAAAGTTAAAACTAATAGAATTATATTCTATTTAGAGGGGGTCTGAGAGGAGGTAGAGAGGAGGTTGAGGTGGGTCTTATTTATACTAAGTGATGGGACATGGGGAGTTGACGGGGCGATAGTAGGGGGGCTAACTTATAATGAAACCCAATAAAAATTACGTAAAAACTGTTAGAATTTTTACCTTATTGAAAGGGGGGGGGGAGTAAGGGCGAAATGAGGTGGGACAAAGAGAGGCCAAGGGGGGTTAAAGGGG